GCCATGGGCTGACTCCTGATTTCTTACTCATTTTATACAACTCAACCCTCAGAATTGTTTTACGGTGTAATCAGAGGGCCTTGTGTTCCAAAGATGAGAACGAGTACGTACTGGCAATACAACCGTGGATTGATGAGGAGTACTGATGGGAAAAGCTGCTAAGGTTATAGTTTCAAAAGCAATTCTGATCTTCGGGTTGGAGATAGCAGAAGTTCGCGGGTTGCAGGCTGGAAGTCTTCTGACTGAGATGCTAGTCCTGACAAAAACAACTGCCCAGTGTCCTGTGAGCATCCCTTGAGGGATTTGCATAAGTCTCATCTCCAGGACCAAGCACTGCGCATGCACAATCTGACAGTTTCTGACCTGAGCACAGAGTGGCAAGTAGGTTATTGTGAGCCGTCGCATTCCCCTTACCGAGTGCCAACCGCACGGCATTAGCAGCTACTGGATGATCTATCGCTCCCTTAAGATGATCTAAATAGAAAGAAGTAGCAGCTTCTGGAGGAGGGGCAACTTGGACTCCAGCGCTCACCTCTGTTTTGCTGGAGGATGATGATAACAGTAAGTGCAGGTCCTTGCCTGTTGCACCAAAAAATATTTTCTGACTGAAAGTGTTTTTTGACTCTCAAGGCTTATCAATCTTTTGATAAAATAGAAAGTCCTAGAGTGCTTATGATAAACCAGTGTTTTAGTCTCAGGAACTAACGTTTAGAGAGCACAACTTATGAATCATGGTGATTGCTTTGTTATGGTGTACATTAATTTTTCCACCACTCAAAGAGGAGGTTGGTTATACAGCGCACTTCACAGATGAGAAAACAGAGAAGCAGAGATGGTGAGTGACAGGCTACGCATTTATGCCTACACACTAAATCCCACCACTGGCATGTCTCCCTGACAGAGCTCCCTAGGCAGCCGAAGCTGGTCCTTGCCTTGTTTTGAAACTGTTTTCATAGTACATGCTTACTTGGAAAACACCAAAAGCCCATCTCCTGATACATGCTCCTAGAAAAACCATTGTAGGTAGAACTGGCAAGATAAAGATCACCAGCAGTACCCTATAAAGTCTGAGGGACCAGCAGTTAGCATAATGGCTATGTCGCTGGACTCCCACATAGTCAACCGCGGTTCGAGTCCCGGACCTGGTGGCTTAAACTCACGCCGGGAATGTGTGCGTGCGTGCCCAAGATCCTGAGCGGAGAATGGAGGGGAAGTGATTACGGTGTGGCCATTTCCCCTGGGGGGTGATTTCTCGCTTTCTATCTCTCTGTCTCTGTCTTTCTGGCAAGCACACGTGCCCTATAGCAAAAACCTTTTCAAGAAAAAAAAGTCTGAAAACAATCTGCACAAATGTTCTGTAATAAGCTAATATAATAGTAATACAAGGGAACCAGCAGTTAGCGTAATGGCTATGTCGCTGGACTCCCACGTAGTCGACCGCAGTTCGAGTCCCAGACCCGGTGGCTTAAAACTCACGCCGGGCACGTGTGTGTGTGTGCCCAAGATCCCGAGAGGAGAATGGAGGAGAAGGGATTGCGGCGTGACCATCCCCCCTGGGGGGGGGGGATTTCTCGCTTTCTGTCTCTATGTCTCTCTCTGTCTGTCTGGCGAGCACACACGCCCTATAGCAAAAAACTCTCCAAAAAAATAAAAAATAGTAATACAACAATAGCCCTTTACATTTGTTTGACATAAAACAGTTTGCAAAGCATTCTTACATGTTAACTAAATATACGAAGGGACTTCAAAAAGTTTGTAGACTGGGCCGGCAGGTGTTGTGGTGGTTAAGGTGCTGAACTCCCACAAGGCCGATCACAGTTCAAGTCCCAGACCTGGTGGCTTGCTTTCTCACTTTCCTTCTCTCTTTCTCTATCTGCCTCTCTCTGGTGAATGCATGTGCACTATAGCAAACAAAATAATAATAATAAAGGGAACCAGCAGTTAGCGTAATGGCTATGTCGCTGGACTCCCACGTAGTCGACCGTGGTTCACGTCCCGGACCCAGTAGCTTAAAACTCACGCCGGGCGCGTGTGCGTGCATGCCCAAGATCCTGAGAGGAGAATGGAGGAGAAGGGATTGCGGTGTGACCATCCTCCCTGGGGGTGATTTCTTGCTTTCTGTCTCTATGTCTCTCTCTGTCTGTCTGGCGAGTGCACGCGCCCTATAGTGAAAATCTCTCCAACTCCCCTGAAATCCATGCTTTTTTTTTTTTTTTATTAAGGATTTTGCATTAGGCATGTGTGCTTGCTGAAGAGAGACAGTGAGAGAGAAAGGGAGAAATCACCCTTCAGCGGGGATAGCCATACCACAATCCCTTCTCCTGGGAGGGATTCTGGGCACATATGCACATGCACCGAATGTGAGTCTTAAGCTGGGACTTGAACAGCTTTTGGCCACATGGGAGTTCAGTGCCTTAACCATCATGTCACCCGCTGACCCTATACATAGTTTTTAAATAACATACATATTTCTGAACTTTGTGAAGACTACAGCATTGCAATTTGTTTTTGTTTTTATTTTTTAGGTTTTTGCCATAGCTTGCTGGAGACAGAGAGACAGAGAGAAGAAAAGTGAGAAATCACCTCCTCGGGGGGTTGGCCACATTGCAATCCCTTCTCCTCCGTTCTCCTCTCAGGTATGCAGGCCTATGTGTGGGCATGAGTTTCAAGCTGCCAGGTCTGGGCCATATGAGAATTGAGTTCTTTAACAGTGACAACACCTGCTGGCCCCATATTGTGGATTATTTCATCCTGGATTCGCATAGATTTTCACTGAAGTGCCTACTCTATAGAATGGTGGTAGCCGTCTGGAATTCTGTCCTGAAAAAGGTTCTATCATTCTAGAATCAGTAAGAATCAGAGCCATGTCTGTCAGGACACAGGGGTCAGGACTCATGGTACAGTCACCAAATGCTTACTGTACTTTGTCTATTCTAAATGTGTAAACATTTTATTGAGAGAGAGAGAAATTCCTGCCTGGATCGTCTTTTTTTTTTTTTTGAGAGGTTTTCGCTATAGGGCATGTGCACTCGCCAGACAGACAGAGAGAGACATAGAGACAGAAAGCGAGAAATCACCCCCCAGGGGGGATGGTCACGCCGCAATCCCTTCTCCTCCATTCTCCTCTCGGGATCTTGGGCACGCACACACACGCGCCCGGCGTGAGTTTTAGGCCACCGGGTCCGAGACGCGAACCGCGGTTGACTACATGGGAGTCCAGCGACATAGCCATTACGCTAACTGCTGGTCCCTCCTGCCTGGATCTTGCCACACCATGTCCCCCTCCCAGTAATACCAGTCAGGATTACCGCATTCGTGGTGTGTTCAGGTAAACCCGGGATCTGAGCCAGGGCTTCTCCATGTGGCTTCAGGATCACACGGCGGTGGCCTAAGCCTGTGCCATGATGGTCGGGCCTCTTAGCCATTATCATCCATTCCTTTTACAAATGGCTCCATAACCTGTCTATGGTCACACAGTCAGTGGCTAAACGGAGACCAAATCTCAGGTGTCCTTCTGTTGTCACTGCTGTTAAACTATGCTATACAGGAAACATGGAGCTAATCTGAGTTCAAATGGACTAGAGCTGATTATACAGTTTTGAGCCTAGTAATGTTTAATATGGAATAAAATTAGTTGTCTTCTGCAGCAAAATGCAAATAAAATGTGCTACAATTTGTGAACAGTTATGTAGGAAGGGCTTCAGGCAGACAAGTAATGAGGAGCGTATATGTTAGCAGATGGGACCTGAAGGCATGTGGGGCTATGTTTACTGAGGGCTGCGACCGTACAGACAGTATATCTGGAAAGTCCAAGAAGCTCCAAATTTAAAAAAAAATGACCAAAGGGTGTGTGTGTGCTCACTGGAGCAAGACAGAGATAGACAGGAAGAGAGAAACAGAGAGAAGGAAAGTGAAAAAGTCCCTCCGGGACCAGCAGTTAGTGTAATGGCTATGTCGCTGGACTCCCACGTAGTTGACCGCGGTTCGCGTCCTGGACCCCCGGTGGCTTAAACTCACACCGGGCGTGTGCGTGCATGCCCAGGATCCTGAGAGGAGAATGGAGGAGAAGGGATTGTGGCGTGGCCATCCCACCTGGGGGGTGATTTCTCGCTTTCTGTCTCTCTGTCTCTCTCTGTCTGTCTGGTGAGTGTACGCGCTCTATTGCAAAAACCTCTCAATAAAAAAAAAATAAAGTGCCCCCATGGGTGATGGTCATACCACAATCCCTTCTCCATTTGTCCCATCTTTTGGAGTTTGGGGCACTCATGCACACAAGAACCCAGTGTATTTTCAAACTGCCAGGTCCAGGACTTGAGCCACATGATTGACCATGTGGGATTCAGTTGCCTTAACCACCACCCAAGGGTTTGTCCACTGCTTAATTTTAGTTTTTTCTTTAATTTCCAGAAAGTACATGCTCTCTCCAGAGAGCGAGAGAGACCGAGGCGGAGAGAGAGAGAGAGAGATGGAAAGCACCCCCCCCACCACAATGGGGCTTGGTCATGCCTCAATCTTCCCTCCATTTCCCTATCCCATCAGGATTTGGGACATGCATGCACATGTGCTTGGTGTGTTTTTCAAGCCACTGTGGACAGGACTCAAACCACATTAAGCCATGTGGGATCTGGCTCCTGAAGCTCCCCTCTTAGCCACTGTGCTATGGGGGCTGGCCCTCAAAATGCTATTTCAGAGGTCAAGAACTTTTTGGATATTACCAATACAGTGTTGACATGACATGAGGGGTCGCAAGGAGCTTCAGGCTTCGAGAGATGCATTATTCAGCTCTGTTGAAAAGGTAAGAGAAGATTAGTAACTGCATTCGCAAGCAGTGATACATTAACGACTTTTGGGAATGATAGCAACTCTACCAGGTGGTTGCGGCTTGCTCAGAGTAAAAGCCTTACGGGCTGTAAAGCCATCGACTACACTGAAACTTGTTAAGAAGGACCATGCAGAGCGTTTCCTTGCAGACGATGGCGGAGCTAGGTGGGGCAGACGAAGCAGAGTTGCAACACCTGGTGGAGGCTGAACAGTAGAAGACCCAGTTCACTGTACCAGTGCATCACCTCATGGAGCTATGTTGGGGTAACGTGTAGAGAAGCCAGGAATCGCTTAGACGCTCACACTGAAAACTGCGTCTCTGGCCGTGTGGACCGCTTCGCTGACACGACTCTTGCCATTACCAGGTGATTTGCCCAGAGTGCACAAGGAGGACTGTAAACCATCCCCTGGGAGAATAACGGAATCGGCAAAAGACGAATTAGGCAGATTAAGGACCACAGGGGAAGGTTGGCAGCCCACTGTCAGGGCACCATCCTCGTTGCCAAGTCTATTGGTGCTCAGCAGTAACAACTCAAACATTTGCGAGTGAAACTTACTCATTTGGAATTCAGAAATTCCAGGTTGTTTGACATCAGTTATTCAATAAATGTGAATTCTTAAAAAAAAAAAAAAAAAAAAAAAAGAAAAGCCATAAAAAAAAAAAAAAGAAGAGCCATCCAGTTGAGGGACTGTGTGGCGTCAGAGCAGGCCCCAGGTTCAGACTCTGCCACACCCCGCTCGCTCAGCAGTGTTACCTTTGAATGCAGAAGACGAGAAGGAGTGTGCTAGCAGTCAGCTGCGGCCCACAAAGGCCAAGCGCTTTTCTTCCAGCTGGAGCAACCTGCCTGGCTATACAATCCCCAGGACCAGGCAGTGGAGTGGCAGGGGGCGCCCCCCCCCGTCACCTCTGAGAGAGCAGACAGGATTCCTCAGCACTTTACACACTGCCTTTGTTGGTTGTTTCCAAGGTGACCAAGTGTCTGTCCTTTGCTGTAAATAAAGACAGGAGCAAAGGGACCCGACCCTTCCCTCCTCCTCTTCTCTCGGCTCTGCCGCGTTCGTTGCGTGCTTCCTGTGAGGGCGTATGTGAAAGCCCCACCTTCCAGACTCAAGCCTTCCCTGCGATTTCTTTTGTCTCCTGCGCAGGTCTATGGCCACACCACCCCAAATGTGCCCGATCTCGTCTGTCTCCTGTGCAGTGGGCTCCACTGTGGGTCACGGAGCCTCGCAGCTGGCATGAAAGGCCCTCTCATTCTCATTCCCACCTCACTCCAAGATGTTCTCTTGTGGGAGAGGAAGAAATGAGATGCGTTGGAGACTGCATTATGTGTTCCAGCTAGTCACTGGGCCTCCCAGCGAGAGGACTACATTGTCCCAAGCCACTGATACCAGGTTTGCGTGTGACAGGCTTGGGCCAAATGAACTCTGGGTCTGAGCAAAGGTTCTAAGAGCCCTTCTCGTGGTTCTGCTCTTGCTCCCCTACCTCTGCCCAGAACAACGGTACACCCTAGGGAAGGGCTGGTCCTTCAACCTGGACTCCAGAATGAGGAAGGCATGGTGGGGTGGGGGGGAGGCGAAGCCACAGATAACTGCAGCAGCCATGTCAGGGCCAGCTAGGTGGCGTGGTGACTAGATCCCACATGGCCAACTGCACGGTTTGAGTCCTGAACCTGGCAGCTTGAAATACACTCCAGGTGCCGATGTGTGCGTGCTCCAAATTTGAAGAGAAGAAAGGTGGAGAAAGGATTACAGTGTGGCCTTTCCCCCTGGGGATGCTTTATCATCTCTCTCTCTCTCTGTCTCCAGAGAGCACATACACCCTATAGCAAAACTTAAGAAAAGAGTGAGGAATAAAACCCTGTAGTTGTAAGCCTCTAAGATTTGGGTAGTGTTTGTTACCGCAGCATAACCTAGCACAAGCTAGCTGACTAGTTACTGGTAAGCATCTGACAGGGGAGGGCCAGGTAGGGACTGCATCAAGGTGGAGCGCCTGCTTGACCTAAAGGGTGAAGCCAGTCACCTTCTAGTACTGATTGCCCTCTAGGAGTGCAGGCCCATTGCTGCCAGAGGCGTCCTGATCTTTAAAAGAATCTTAAGAATCTAGATTTTGAAGTGAATTCAGTATTTTAATGTTATACCTGAATCTGGGACAAATAATGCGTGTTCCTAGCCCCGAATCCAGCATCAGGCTCTACCTGGTAACCTCTGATCAGTACCAACCTGCACCCCAGCGTTGTTCTCCAACTCCAGGGCATTCCCTCCTCCCTCTCGCCCCCCCCCACTCCGCCCCCAAGCCCCTGTTCCAGGCCTTGTGGAGTCCCCGTTTCCCCACTTCCCCCACTAAGGGACCTGTCCCTGAACTCAGAGTCTGTATCGTATTTAACTCCCAGGCGTTCCTCTGTTACTTAGGGACATACTTCACTCTTTGAGAGTCTGCAAACCCAGTGAAACAGTAATCGTATCATCTCTCTTGGCATCTTTACTGTCTTGCAGACATAAAAAGCGCAAAATTCGCATTGTTTTTACACTGAGCAAGCGTTCACTGGCTAATGTGAACACCTCCTGCCGATGATTCCCTTCTGAGGTTTTTTGAAGACAAAGGAACACCCAGAAAGAGCCAGATTCCAGGCTCCTTAGTTGCCTATTTTTGTCACACTAAGGAGTGTGTTCATTAAGAACAAACAACAGATTAAATGCTGCACAGACACATCTTGGTAATAGAATAACTGGGCTTCCTGGTAGTTTTATTTCTGTTGTCATATGTACAACGAGGGAAACTCAGTCAGATTAGCCCAGTCCACCTCGGGCTGAGTTAAACTTCTCCCTAGTCATTTAAGATGCCTGTCTTGTTTTATGCTTCAACAACCAAAAGAAGTTACAGCACTCATCTGAGTTTTTAAAAATTTATTTATTTAATTTATCTGTTGTTATTTGTTAATTTAACCGGAGAAAGAGAGAGAAGGAAAGCTGTCAGGTTCAAGTCCTCGAACCACAGTCTGCCATGAGGGAGTCCAGTGCCTTACCCCCCTCTCCACCTGCCAGCCCCACTCATCTGAATTCTTTGGTGGACCAGCAGGTGGCGTGGTGGTTAAGGCACTGGATACTCTCACATGGTCAACCATGGTTCAAGTCCTGAATCTGGTGGCTTGTGTTCTTGCTTCCTCTCTCTCTGGTCAAATTAAAATAAATAAATGAATGAATAAAATTAAATAAATATTCTTTTAAAAAAAGAACATCTAGCTTTCCAGCATGGGGGTCTTCCCCACACACTCTCGGGGCCCTGCTGCGCGTTGTAACCACTGTCGCGTTTCTGCTGATTCTCAGTACGCATTTGTTGAATGGACAAATGAGCGGGTGAAGTGCTCCAATACTGTAGTATTACTTCTGCAGCTTAGAAGAAAGTGAAATCTCCACCGTCGTCCCCTCGCTCACCATCCGCATGGTTTAACCCCTGCGATTTTTTTTTTTTTGAGAGATTTTCACTGTAGGGCACGTGCGCTCGCCAGCCAGACAGACAGAGACATAGAGACAGAAAGCGAGAAATCACCCCCCAGGGGGGATGGTCACACCGCAATCCCTTCTCCTCCCTTCTCCTCTCGGGATCTTGGGCACTCACGCACATGTGTCCAGCGTGAGTTTTAAGCCACCAGGTCTGGGACGCGAACCGCGGTCGACTACGTGGGAGTCCAGCAACATAGCCATTATGCTAACTGCTGGTTCCCACCCCTGCGATTTTGACCTCTTTTGAAGGTAAAATGTTCCAATAGCCCTGATTTCCCCAGAACCTGGTTTACACATTAGGGGAATCTAGTTCTTTCCTTAGCCAGTACTTAAAACAAGCGTTTTCTTACATCTTACAAGTGGGTTGCTCAGCGCACATGTGAAAAGGGCCAAATAGCACCCAAAGGCATTAAACCAATTACTGAAAGATGCGAGGCCAAGTCTGCTAGGAAAATAATATCAAGTCAAACCAAATCACTCGGAAGTGAGTCACTTCCCTTTGGCGACTGAAATTAATTTAAACTGCCCCCCCCAGCCCCCTGTGGCTTTGTTTGACATTTCTTTCAAATGCCAATGAGTACCTCACTTAGTCAAATGAGCTAAATCCAAGCTGCTGGTACTACACAGCTGTGAAGCCCTATGGCCATATGGCTAGGATGTTCCAGGACACTCTGATCTCATATCATTTTAATCTTTTTAATAAAGGCAATTTGTTAAATGTATAACTAAATATGAAGTCATTTTCTAAATCTGCAAGACCTCATATAATCAAATTCACAAGAACTCATTCTCCCTTACTGTTCAATTCAATTCAAGCGGCATTTACTGACTGCTCTATGACATATTGGTCCCTAATTAGGTCAAAGGGACTTGGAGATAAGTAGGACATGATCCCTGCCCTTGAGGATCTGACAAGATAAACAATAAGTGATCGTTTGGCAATTCATGGATTGCAATCAAAACATGTTGCACTCACAAGAGAGCATAAGAGGCAGTGGCTAATTTTATTCAATCTTGAGGTGGCACAGAGGCAGGGGCAGCTTTCTAAAAGAGGAGACACCTCTGTTAGGTTTTGAAGGATGAATAGGAGTTCACTAGGCACATCAGGGGATGGACCCCGGCGTTTCAGGTGGAGGACCAGTCTCTATGTGTCCTGGTTTTTCTGTTTAGGAAAACAGAATCGCCCTGAGGCAATAATAGAATCAAGAGCCTAAAACAGAACTGTGACCTACTTATATTTATTGTTGTTCTGACGTGTCTCTGAAAAAAAAATTTTTTTAGTGCTTTTGCCATAAAGTGACTGCATTCATTCACCTGAGAGAGACAGAGAAAGAGACAGAGAGAAGGAAGTGAGAAATCAACCCCTTCCACCAGGGGAGAGGGAGGGCCACACTGTAATCCCTTCTCCTCCATCCTCCTCTTGGGATTTTAGGCATGAATGCACACATGCCCAGCGTGAGCTTCAACGTGCCAGGTCCAGGACTTGACTCGTAGGTGACCATGTGGGAGTCAGCGCCTTTACCACGACATTATCTGCTGGCCAAGGTCTCTGAAATTTTAAAAAATAATTATTCATTTAATTTGATTTATTAATATTACTATTATTTAATTTGCTGTAGAACACGTGAGCTCACCAGAGAGAGACAGAGAGAGAGAGAGAGAGAGAGAGGGAAAATGAGAATGCAAGCCACCTGGTCCAGGACTTGAACCGTGGTCGGCCATGTGGGAGTCTCGCCCCTTACCCACCATGACACCTGCTGGCCCCTGCCTCTGAAATTTTAACTTTGGTTTAAAATATTCTGTAGCTAGCCTTAGTTGAGAAGAAGGTTTATTTTTTAAATTTTATTTATTTTTATTATTTTTTAATTTTGACCAGAGACCTGCTAATCTTAACATCTAGTCAGTCCTGGGTTGCAACAGTCAACTGTTAATTTTTCTCTTCACTCTTAGCCATATTTTCTTTTTTATGCCAGAGGGTGCATGTGTGTATACATATGTGTGCAAGAGCTAGAGAAAGAAAGAGACAGAGAGACAGAGAGAAAGCATCCCTTCATGGACCTGGCATTCTGCAATTCTTTTCCCTCCAGTTTTGTGTCCCATGAGGACCCTGAGCTTGTGTGTATGTGTGCCTGGCCTGTTTTCAAGCTGAGGGGACTGGGACTCAGGGCCTGGTTAGCCATGTAATATCTGGCTTCCTCTGAGCGTTCTGTTGGCTGATTGTACAGCATTACAATAAATCTTGCATTGTGTGCTGGGTCAGTTACTTAGAAACAGTTTGATTCTTCTGAATATCATTTTTTTATTTTTTGAGAAGTTTTTGCTATAGGGCACGTGCACTCGCCAGAAAGACAGAGAGAGACAGAGAGACAGAAAGCGAGAAATCACACCCCCCCCCGGGGGGGGGGGGAATAACCACACCATAATCCTTTCTCCTCCATTCTCCTCTCAGGATCTTGGGCACGCATGGACACATGTCCGGTGTGAGTTTAAGCACTGGGTCCAGGACTCGAACCACAGTCGGCTACATGGGAGCCCAGCAACATAGCCATTGCGCCAAATGCTGGTCCCTCTGGATCTCAATTCTGTGATATGTTAGATGGCTCTCGGATGGTGCCAGGCCATGGCTAAACATTCCCCACTGCTAAGTCAATACCTTTCTGAATACTCTACCCAATGAACCATGAACAAGAAACATAATTCAGGCATAATTCTGCCCCTGTGTTAGAAGCAGACACTGTTCCCCCTAATTTTTCCACATCGTTCTTTCCCACATTCTGCGTTCTGATCAGTATTCTCTCTCTGAAGGTTTCTGGGATTCTCTTGTGCCACTCTCTCCTCTCCGGTGTTCTGCCCTCTGAACGCCTAGCTCTGTCCTCTCAGCTTAGTGAGATCACCGGGCTCTGCTTCAGTTTCCCCTACCCGAGCCACAGCTTAGCGACCGTTAGCATCTCAAGGCAAGAAGTCGGGCGATTGTGGGGCTCATCAGTTTTACTCCCTGTCTCTCCAGGTCACTAGCCTTGGTCATCAGAAGAAAACCTGGTCTCTGTTACTCAGTCTTAGCCAGAAGCAGACATCAGAACTTCGTGTTCGAAGGCAACTAAATTCGGATTAAATTGCCGGCCTTGTCCTTAAGGCCTGTGTGACCTCAGTCAAGCTCTCCAAACTGCCCGAGCCTTGGTTTATTTTCCGTTAAACTCTTCCTCAACGTGATTCCTGAGGGGAGGCGGGAGACGTGTGGGGCATATGGTATGTGCTGGAAAAGGGAGAACGAGAAGCCGGGGTACGTGGAAGTGAACACAGTAACAGAGAGGAGGGGAGCCAGCCAGGAGGGGCCCCTCTGGTAGGGGGTAGGGAGAGGCGCGGGGGCGGGGCGGGGAACAGCCAGGGTGGAGAAAGGGGAGGAACTCGAGGCCTAGCAGGAGACAGGGAAGCGGGAGAAACCCTGTAGCCACACGGGGTGTGCAGTTGGGGCTCTGATCAAGGCAGCAGCCTAGGGGGGAGCGGGGCTTGCAACTTCACCTGAATGCAGCAGCCCAGGTTGTCTTGGGGGCGGTTCCTGTACCTTCTCACAAGGCTCCTGCCACCAAGAGTGGCCCGGGCACTGCGCCTGCCCGTATCACGCCATCTCCTCATATGCACAGGGCTGCTATGTGGACTGGGTGGCCCGGTCTGCGGACCCCGGACAGGGCGGGGGACCTGCCAGCTCCGAGCCAAACCTCTCTCTGTCTCTCTCGCTTTCCCCCTTGGCTGGGAACTTCGAATAGTGAAGAGCTTATTCATCTTTTCACTTGTTCATCCATTCAACAAACATTAGACCAGTATCACTGTGGGCTGGGATAAGGGGATGGACACGGGGCACGGTCTCTGCCTTCCGGGAGAGGCTGTCACCGAATATGACAGGCACCTGTTGGGTGGCAGCAAGAGGGAGAAGCGTCCTGGTGGGACCGAGACCACCTGAGCTGTAAGGCTGGCCCCAGGAGGCCGACCCGAGGGTGGCTTGTACAACCAGGAACAGGACTGGCTGACTTCTGGCTTGCAGTCCCAAGGTCTCCAACCACCAGACTTGGGAGAGGGTGCTGGTATTAGGTTCGGGGACAGCAGGCCCCGTTTGGAGAGCCCGAGAGAGGTGTTTGGAGCATTCCTTAGACTCTAGGGTGCTCAGGGCTGGGCATTGACTTGGTCCAGTCAACATTCTTTACACTCTCCCATGTACGCTGTTGAACACACACAGACACAAAGTACCCACGTAGGTAAGGCTCTTGCAGATTTTTTTTTAAGTTTCTACATGGCTCACACATTTGCCAGAGAGAGAAAGTGAGAAATCCGCCCACAGAGGGGACGGCCGTGCTGTAATTCCTTCTCCAGTCTCCTCTTGGGATTTTGGGCACGCAGGCACACATGTCTGCTGTGACCTCCAAGCCGCTGGGTCCAGGACTGAAGCGTGCAGTCGGCCATGGCCAGCTCCCTCCACCTCTGCACCGCCAGGTGGTCATCTCTCCAGACCGTGACGTTCAAACAGCGCCCACGGGCTGCTCTTGATGCTCCTCTGTGAGTTCACATCATAGTTCCATTTTTAAGAAGAATTATTTTATTATTATTATTTTAATTTTCTACAGGACATGCACACCCACCAGACCCACACGCACACACCTACCAAACACCCCCCCCCACACACACACAGTCAGAGAAAGAGAAAGTGAGAGCTAGCCACCAAGTCCAGACCCTGAACCATGGTCAGCCATGTGGGAGCCTAGCGAACCAACCACCATGCCACCTGCCCCCTAATTTCATTTTTATCCTTGTGCTCAAATATAGGGTACATTTTAAACGTTGTACATGGAGTTAGAAAAGTGAAATCTGACTGGGATTTGCAGAGGGCGATTTTTTTTAATCCCTTGAACAGATAAAATAGTCACAGTATAACATGTAAAAGCCATGAGAGAACACTGTGAGAAGGCTCTAGTTATTCAGTTTCCTCTTTCCAGAAGCAACTGTTAGGACCTTTCCACAAGTCTTGATGCATAGGGGAGCAAATACACAATGTTTTCTTTCTTCTTTCTCTCTCTCTTTCTTTCTCTCTTTCTTTCTTTCTTTCTCTCTCTCTCTCTCTCTATCTCCTTTCTTTTTCTCTCTCTTTTCTTTCTTAGAAATGTTTGTTCATTTAATTCCATTTGTTATTATTATTTTTTGGTTTGACTAGGGAGAGAGTTAGGCTGGAGGCCTGGGCAGCTTGGATGTGGGTACTGGACACCACACCACAATCGGCTGATGCAACCCGGGTCTAGCCTGTCATCAGACCTGCACTGCACTCGGATCTAACCCGGATGTAGCCTGTCATCAGACCTGCGCTGCACTCGGATCTAACCCGGGTCTAGCCTGTCATCAGACCTGCACTGCACTTGGATCTAACCCGGATGTAGCACATGCGCTCTCCTCTGCACACGGCACCAGTCGTTACATGGCTCAGCAGTCTGCCCTCCTTTAAACCTTTACCATACATAGACTGTTTGTACCTCTAAGACACTCCCCCTCCCTATACCCTTATAAAAATCACTAAACCCCGCCCTGGGGCTCAGTTTCTCTGGTTCCCTCTCTCTTTCTTTGTCAGGCCAGCAAACCTCGCCTGGGAGCGCTCCCAATAAAGGCTCTCCATTTCTATTTTTTCATGTGGTCAGCCCATTCGTTACGAAGAGACAAAGGTAAAGCAACAATGAAGCCGCCAGGTCCAGGACTCGAACCGTGGTTGGCCATGTGAGAATCTAGCGCCATTAACCGTCATGCCACCTGCCGGCCCCACATATGCTTTCTTACACAAAGGTGCTCTCCACACACACACACACACACACACACACACACGCACAACTTCTGCACTTTGCTTTTGCACTTACTTTGTTTTGGGCTCTCTCACCAGTTTCGCCTGGTGTAGTGAGCACTGTCACCGGCCCTTGGCTGTATGAACATGCAGTAGTTTGATTTTCTTCACTCACGGTTTCCCTGTGGGTCCTGTCCAAACACCGTTCCAATGTGGCGGCACTGGGCACCTCGTTCCTTGTCCAGTACAGGACACCAGCCTGAGGATCACCCTGTCCCCAGTGAGTTGTTTTCACAAGGTGTAAGACTTAAAGAAGCAATTAAAATAGGTAAACATTAAAAAATTTAAAGGACCAGCAGACGGCGTAGTGGTTAAAGTCCTGGACTCCCATGTGGGCAACCTCTGTTTGAGTCCCAGCCCAGATCTGGTGGCTTTCTCTCTCTCTCTCTCTCTCGTGAGCGCACAGGCCCTATAGCAAAAATTAAAAATAAATAAATAAATAAAATTAAATAACTATTTTAAAAGAAAGTGTGGTCCCAGATCAGCAGAATCACCATAAAAAAAACCCAAAGCCCCCTTTTCGGTCCGATCAGTGAACTCTGAAGTTACTTGGGTCGCCAAACACATACCTTTCTTTCCCTTTGATTGATGCTTTGGGGTCAGCTCACACTAAGGAAGGGGAAGTTTGGAGGTGAGCAGGACTCAGCCTCAGGGCTCTGGGGCTTCGAGGGGAACGTGTGAACATGCATTCAGGCAGGCAGTGAGCGAACAGGAGCCACAAACGGCGAGAAACAGGCGGGAAGGGTCGTGTCGTTGGAACGTGAGCGCTTGAGCCCCACAGAGACACTCACTAAGCATCTATAATCGAGCTAGTTCCTGTCAGCTGCTGTTCAGTGCTGGGGGAGCAGTTGCAAGAGTGCCCAGGGGGCTCAGCAGTAAGCGTGCTTCGGGGGTCTCACATGTGGCCCAAGGGCTGCCTGCACTGGAGTTTGCGGGGGTGGGTCACACTATGGTACAGGCTATAGGGGACCACTGGGTGCGACTGGAGCCTCACGGGAGGCTGCACATTCAGGTCCCTGGTCAACCAGAGCATGCCGGGTAATCCATGAGTCCAGCTGGCTGGAAGGTTGGGGATAGGGATCATGGCATGGTGAGACCCCTTAAGGGCAACTCTCTTTCTCTCTCATAAAGAAATAAACAAACTTGGGACCAGCAGTTAGCGTAATGGTTATGACCCTGGACTCCCATGTAGTCCACCGCAGTTCGCGTCCCAGAAACGGTAGCTTAAAACTCACGCCAGGTGCGTGTGCGTGCGTGCCCAAGATCCCGAGAGGAGAATGGAGGAGAAGGGATTGCGGCGTGGCCATCCCCCCCGGGGGGTGATTTCTCACTTTCTGTCTCTCTGTTTCTCTCTGTCTGTCTGGCGAGCGCATGCGCCTTATAGCAAAAACCTTGCCAAAAACAAACAAACAAAAAAAGAAAAAGAAAGAAAGAAAAGAAAGAAAAGAAAGAAAGAAAGAAAGAAAGAAAGGAAGGAAGGAAGGAAGGAAGGAAGGAAGGAAGGAAGGAAGGAAGGAAGGAAGAAAGAAAGAAACTTAAAACCAAAACAAAACAAAACAAAAAAACCTGGGCTGCTGGTTACAGACCCAGATTGCTGACCTCTTCCCCAACCTACATCTTGGGGCGGGGGAGGCAGAAGGGGAGTTCAGAGTTGTTTGTTTTTGTTTTTGTTTTTTTTAGTTTTTTTCCCCATAAGGTGCACGTGCTTACTGAAGAGAGCCAGAGAAAGGGAAAGTGAGAAATCACCCAGCAGGGGACAGCCACACCACGATCCCTTCTCCTCTCCTCTCCTCTTGGAGCCTTGGGCACGTGTGCACATCCAGCACGATTTTCAAGCCCCCACGTTGGCACTCTAACTGCCGTCAGACATGTGGGAGTCCCGCGCTGTAACCCATGCCACCTGCTGCCCGGCCTTCCATGCCTAATGACGACTCCTCCTGATCTAGATGTGCCCTAACAAGCTGTCTAAGCTCTGAAAATGGCCTGACCTGGGAGATTCCAGCTAGTGGGAAAACCCAGGTCTAATAAAAGAAAGGGGGGAGGGAAATAACGCATAAAAAGAGCCCCACTCTGTGCCATGTGAGCCGGTTCCTTGGGCTGGGGTGGCCAAGGTAGCAGCCGGGAGAGCCAGAGGGGCTTCAAGAGACGCCTGGGCAACAGGGTCCGTGAGGCATTTTCCCGGGCTGGTTCCGGCCAGCTTCCACGTGCAGCTGAGAGAAGGGGAGACTCAAGTTCATTCCTGAGGTCCTGGGCACTGTTCATGACCCCCTAGACAGTCCCAGCTGGTGTCTGCTCCTCGAAAGGGCCAAGTGTTCCCCAAGTGCCTTAGGGATATTTTCATTGCAGAGGCCCATCTAGAACTCCCAGGTGCCTCCGACGTCCCTTCTTGTCCCCCCTGGCTCCCCTGGTCTGCTGGTCCTTTTCTGACTCCACTGCTAATGGCTGGCCTTGCGTTTTCTAAGTTCTTGCCTTCAGACATCAAAATTGTAACATCCGTGAATAGTTGGCACCAAACTAAGGGCAGAAGACATGGCATGCTACAGAAGCCAGATGACATCCAGAGGTCACAAAACAACCTAAGACCAACGGATGTCCCGCCCCAGGGTACCCGGCCACGCTGTCTCCATCTCCTAAGAGGGCCCCTTTTCCTCATGTCCCAATAAAAGCTCCTCGGCCCCGCTGGAGTTTCAGGGAGGAGAACCTTGGTTAGGCAGACCCAGATCGGGACCAGCCTGGAGCATTGGCTAGTGCGGATTCAGAGACAGTGGGGGGTGGGGGGTGGCGGAGGAAGGCAGGGGATCGAGGTGGGGGGAGATGTAGAGTGATGGTGAAATGTAGATAAAATAATAACAATAAAAGAGGGGCCATGTGGCCATCCGTATTTTGTTTCAACACCATTCCCTGCAGCACGTGATCCATAAGAAAGCAGAATAAGGAACAAGCTAAAGGAAATGAACGAAGCAGGTGGTCTGAGGACACATATGTAGGTGGACGGGGTCTAAGGCAGGATAGGGGGCCTGGGAAGAGGACGGACTGTGGGCCTCCCGTGCGCCAGCTCGCTCCGTCTGTGGAACGTGTCTCTGTCTGCCTAGCAAGCCTTGCGTCAGCTCGTTTCCTTGGCCTTCGGTTCTTGCTGCGAAGGAGACAAGGGCCTCAGAGCTCCCAACCTAACGCCCCACCTTCCAGGCTGTGCAACGTTCCGCATCTGGCCCCTTTCCACCAGTTTTCTGAGTTTGAAAATTCTTTCACAGCCTAGGGCCAAGGCCACCCCAACATTGCAGAAATCACCCGAACACTCCCCACCCGTGGGGTTGGGGCCGTTCAACCCCGGCTGGAGTCCTCTGCGTCTTGTTCCTTGCTGTTGGGCCCTGGTACTCCCCGACAGGGGTGCGCGTGAAGATTACCCCATAGGAGGCGAAGCACCCCGCTTGCAGGGCTGGTCGCCCTCCTGTCTTTGTTTTAATAAGAGTGAAGCCTGAGGCACCAGCAGGGAATGCAGTGCTTAAGGCTCCGGACTCCCACAAGGCCAACCATCGCTCAAGCCCTGGACCTGGTGGCGTAAGAATTATGCTAGCAGGGAACCAGCAGATGGCATAACGGTTTTGTCACTGGACTCCTACGTAGTTGATCGTAGTTTGAGTCCTGGGCCTGGCAGCTTGAAACTCATACCAGGCAGATGTGCATGCGTGCCCAAAATCCCGAGAGGAGAATGGAAGAGAAGGGATTGCAGCATGGCCATCCACCTGGGGGATGATTTCTTGCTTTCTGTCTCTCTCTGGCAAGCACATGCTGGCCGCCATCTGGCAACCCAATGCAGCCTATACCAAAAAAAAAAAAAAAAAAAGAAAGAAAGAAAGAAAGAAAGAAAGAAAGAAGTTACACCGGGCACTTGTGTGTGCATGCTCAAAATCCCAAGAAGAGAATGGAGAAGAAATGGAGAAGAAGGGACTGCAATGTGGCCATCCACCCCCAAGATGACTTCCCACTTTCTCTTTCACTCTCTCTCTCTCTCTGTGACTCTCTGGCAAGCCCATGTGCCCTATGGTAAAAAATAAAAAAAATAAATAAAATAAATAAAAAAATAAAAAAAAAAGAAGCCTGCCCATGTCAGGGCTGTGCCGAGAATGAACTGTGGCTTACTGAGCTTCATCACTGCCTGAAACTGCCAGAGTCCTGTGCGGGCCCAGCTCCGGGGCTCCCATGGGTGGCACGCACTGTGTGGTGCGTTCCTCTGAGTCATCTGCAAAGGAGCTCTGCACGAGGACCGCGCGGCCACTGCTGCGTTTCCACGGTACACACTGCAGCAGGCTCGTTTAGGGCGGAGCCGTTCTTAGTGGTAATAGCTGCTCACACTTAGTTAAAGCTCTAGGCCCCCGTCCCAACGTTGTTCAAGGGAGGTCAACACGTGGTTTTATCGGCCAACTCGGCATTTCTTAGGTAAATATTATTATTTTAACAATTACTTTATTATTTATTTATTTATTTGTAAATTTGCTGCAGAGAAAGACAGAGAGGAGGGTGAGAAAGCAAGCTGCCAAGTCCAGGACTTGAACCGCAGTTGGCCATGTGAAAGTTCAGTCTCCCAACCACCATGCCTCCTGCGGGCCCATTAGGCAATTATTAAGACAAAAAACTCACCAAAAGAATTTTGCTAATTATAAAGTGGCTGGTTGATTTGTTGTATTTCTTTAATTATTTATTTATCGTGTAAGAGGTTTACGCCCTAAGGCATAAGCGGTGTGCTCACTGGAGAGAGAGAGAGAGACCGTAAGAGGGAAAGTGAGAGATGAGCCCCCACACCCCACCCCACGCTGCATCCCTCGAACTGCAGCTGGCTATGTGGGAGTCCAGCGATATAACCACCATGCCTGCTATTAGCCGGCCCTTTATTATTCTTATTATCTTTTTGCAGAGATTTTTGATACAGGGTGTGTGCGCTTGCCAGAAGGACAGAGAAAGACATAGAGACAGAAAGCGAGAAATCACCCCCCAGGGGGGATGGTCACGCCGCAATCCCTTCTCCTCCATTCTCCTCTTGGGATCTTGGGCACGCACGCACACGCGTC